TTGAAATCATATTAAAGCTTAAATACTGCTTCAAATTCAATTCCCATATAATGCCCTATGTAGGCATCCTCCTAAAAACACTTTTTGTTGGCATAGACGATGGATAAGCCACAAAGGATATAAAATATATATAGCAGAGAGTGGCAAGAAGTACGAATCGCTTGTTCCATAACTATATAGTTTCTTATCCATGTTCAATCATTCACATAAAAGGTCTTTTAAAAATTATTCACAGAAAAGGGAGTTGAAGTTGTGTTTGGGATTGCTACTTCGGCCACGATCTATGGTCTATGAAAGTTTTCACAGCCAAGTACTGTGGTCAGATTGCGGGGCAAGCTCGTTAAGGATGTAACTTTAAAACCGAAGAAAGAAATGTTACAAATATATAGTTATACTCAAAACAAATCTCAAAATTTTATACTCAGCTGATCGTGATAACATTTCATTCGTTTATATTTATATTTGTATCCCATTTTCTTATAAGCATAAATGAGAACATGCATGCTCATTTTTTCTTCCTGTTGAATTATTGAAAAGTTATGGGAAGAACTTGAGTATAAGTGCAACATCATGAGAGTGAGGTTTCTTCTGCGCCGTTTGACTAATTAGAGAAGAGTAAACTGTCATTTTACCCCCTGAACTTTCACTTAACTTTTGATTTCCCCCTTGAACTTTTCTATTGGAAAATTAAGGACTCAAACTAATTTTTTTAGCCGATTTGCCCCCTACCGTTAGTTTTTCATATATTCCATCCATATTTCTGTTAAGTGAGGCTATGTGCACAACATGTGAGGTTAGTTAAGTCATTTCACTCTTAAAAATGATTAAAAAACTGAAAATAAATAATAAAAAAACAAAAATTTCCCTCCATTTTTTCCCACTAGCTAATTCCTATCCTCAATTTTAATTTTCCCTCTCATTCCTATGCATGAGAAATGACATATAGTGTTAATATCTTCATAAGTAGCTAAGTTATATACCTCATAAGTAGCTAAGTTATATACCTTATGGATGGTAAAATCTCTTACGTTTTCCAACTTCTTAAGGATCATTTTGTGGAATTGTATTGGGATTATTCTGACATTATGAAAAGTATGCAATTATCTTGAGCATTTTTTTATGAGTATTATGAACATGTTTCTTATATTAATGCACTACTTTGGAGACAATAACACCATGAGCATTTGTCAAATTATTAATTTGTTAGAGAAAATAAAAATGGTAGTACATGCTTCAAGAAAAAGACTAACTTAGCTACTTATGAAGACAATAACACCATATGTCATTTCTCATGCATAGGAATGAAAAGGAAAAATAAAATTGAGGATAGGAATTAGAGGGAAAAAATAGAGGGAAAATTTTGTTTTTTTATTTATTTTCAGTTTTTTAATCATTTTTAAGAGTGAAATGACTTAACTACCCTCACATGTTGTGCACATGGTCTCACTTAATAGAAATATGGATGGAGTATATGAAAACTAACGGTAGGGGACAAATCGGTTAAAAAAAATTAGTTTGAGTCCTTAATTTTCCAATAGAAAAGTTCAGGGGGAAAATCGAAAGTTGGGTGAAAGTTTAAGGGGTAAATCGACAGTTTACTCAATTAGAGAAATACAAGATAAAGTCAAATGTCTTTTTCACATAGCAATGGTGGATTCTGATTGGTGCCACTCAGCATGGCCTTTGGCCCTTTGTTGATATGGCATCTCTGAATTGGAATACGATCCCAATTGATTGTTATATAGGAGAGGAGGAGCTGGTTTGCATTTGTTGGTGCCATCATAATATTCATATGGTATAATTGTTGTCCAAAAGGAAGCTTATTTTGGTCAACCAATACTAATTGCTATCCATCTTCACTCATCAATCTTTCCCACTCTTCCTTCAAAAGCTAGCTAGATTGCTAGCTCAAGATCATTTTCTTTGCCTATAGAAGCTCTTGGTTAGGTCACAATTTCAAATAGTAAAATTTAAAATTAGTTCTTAAATTTCACCATAGTTTAGATTTGGTCACTGAAGTAAAAATTTGTTAATTGAGGACACTAAATTTAAAACAACGTGTGCAATTGGTCTATCCGTAAGCTTTTCTATCATTAATTTCATTACGTGGCATGACATAAAACTCGCAATTAGTCCCTGAACTTTTACCCTAATTTAGATTTTGGTTCCTAAATTTTTACCATGGTATAGACTTTGTCTCTGAACACATATTTTACAATTTGATATGTGAGACTTACATGCATGCCATATTATTAGACTAACAAAAATGTTGGCAAAAGTCAATGACATGAACCAATGGTGCACAATTTGTTAAATTAAGGGACCTCAAGTAACAAATATTTAGTTCATGGACGAGCAAAACTCAGACCAATTTCAATATTTTTTTTCTAAGCTCAAATACAGAACCGATTACCAAGATTGAAACTTTCCAGTTCCTTTTGAAAACCACTTCAACCCTTCCTGAGTTTAAAATGTGAATGAAGTTTTCATTTTTTTAGAATAATAAGCATATATTAATATATATACCCATTTGGCTTTTGGGACCGGCTTGGCAATGGTGATTATGTATTCAATTAAAGAATCAACTTGGTTTTCAATGCACTCATTTGATGAAACGTGAATGTTCTAACAGCTCATGCTTATGTTATGGGGCTACTGCTCAATGTGACATTTTCTGAAACGGGGTGGGCAAATGGCAATAAGTGTTTTTGCTATCTATACTGATGACTATATAGTAAATAAAATATAGTAAAGCTCATCATAAGGGTCCAATACTATATTCTATGAACAACTCATCTGTGTTCGTGATATACTGGCTCAACGGTTGCAGACAAAAAGTTACGAGCACCATATATAAAATTTATTTGGATAATTAAGTTAATTAATTTGGTAATTTTCTATTGGTCGTAAATATTTTGTGCTTTCATCAACATGGTTAAGATTCCAATTCTACATAAATTAATCTGGCAAATTAACTGTTGGAGTTAAAAAAAATTAGTTGCTTTCTTAGTTAGGGTTTCGAATCTGGTTCCTGCTCTGTTGTCAATTAGAATGAAATCTAGGTATCGATGTTAGTCTAAGTAGTAAAAGAGAATGGCGTAATAAGTTAGAATATCTTAGTCGATTAGTTAAGGATTCAGGAGTTACAAGAATGTTGCTGACTAGTACTGGGTATTATGCGTCTGTTTATGTTAATTATCCACTTCACCGGAAGCCACTCTGCACTTTAGAATTTTCATCATAAGAGTAGCTTGATGGTAATCATTCCCAACAGGATAGTGTAATAATCAACTTGTACATGCTGAAATTTGGCATGTTTCTATTGGCAATTGCACCAAATGTTGTGAAAAAAAGTGCTTTTTATGGCTAAGGTGCATTTGGATCCCACGTAAAATAACATGTTAATATATCTCAAGTGCAATTAATTGTCAAGGGTTCCGTTTAATGTCTTCTAGAAATACAAGTGGATCATGCTAATTGCAAAGCTTTCCGTTTAGTGCCTTTTACACTTTACATTGATTGATGATTAATTAGTTAAAAGTGAAACATATTTTTTTGCTATTGTCCCATTCTAATTAGGTCCTACCAATTATGCTTTGTACTAAGGTCAATTAGAAGTTAATTAGAGTAGATCCACCAAGTTAAATTAATGAGAAAATTTACAATATTCCAAAGAAATGAATACTTTGTTCACTCAGAATATTTAGATCAAATTTGACGCTGCTCATAACTAAAGAGTTAAATATGCATAACATATGCTAAGTATCATCTAAAATGGTCCACGTCATGCAAAAGCCAGATCATAATTTTTATTTGATTATTTCGTCCAACACAAAAACTCCAACATTTAAAATTCATTGGATTGTAGTGCATGCTGGAGTTTCTCATACCTAAAATTGGAAGTGTGGCAATACATAGAGGGCATATGCATATGAAGCTAAAAATACAAAAGAGGGCCAAAAAATGTCAATGAGGAACAAAGCATGCCCAACAGGTACCACGTTGCACAGCGCATGCTGGACAGTGAACAGCCCTTGGGCCCACCATACCGACAACCAAGATACCACCATTCTTAATCTAATTAAGCTACTTGTATGTAAGGAACGCATGAAAGGAACTGCAAGTTAATCAGATTTTTGACAAAAGAACGTACAATAGAATGGAATGTGTGAACTATCTTAGCTAATTAGGGTTTCTGAGTTTTGAAACATTTATTCAGTGGTACAGTTACAAACATGCATTGCAACGTAGGTCACTAAAAGTGTGTGATGTGGCCTTCTCATGCAATAAGTAGCTGGTCTATTTCATGCATGGTCATGGATACTCAGCGCAAGCATGGAGAGGTCTTGTTCAAAATTAAACAATATCATCTAATTTTACTATAAGCTGAAATGTTATTCCATAATTTATTGTTCAAAATCAAAGATGATAAATAAATTAGGAAATGATTTTCACTTCTACACATTTTCGTTAATTTTCTATATCTTTGATTCCCTTTTTTTTTACTCAGGCCAAAAACAAAGAGAGTTGTAGGGTGAGAAAATGGGGTGTGCAAATCATTTCCTTAGTATTTTTTTTTCTTTTATACAACGATATATTTACAGTAAGGGGCTAAGAAAATAAATTAAAATCGAATTCGCCATTAATAATATTTGATCATTAAATCTCATTTACATATAAAAAGGAATACCACTTGGTAGTAGTACTAAGTAAAATAATTTTTCTAACAATTTATCGTATACGTAGAGATGATGGTGTTCACTATCCATCAACACCATGGCCTGTATGTATATTACCTTAATCGGTATTGTTTAACCTTTTCCTTTTGGGTTTATCCTCAATTAATTGAGTTGTTGACCAATTAGAAACATTTTTTGTTTTTGTGATGCGGGGAGGAATTGTAAGATAGCTGAAATTGTTGTGTAGTATTGGAATTGTTACTTCATACAATAATTCGACTATGTTATTGCACGTAATCATAAATGTGTCCACTGTCCCTATATAATAATAGGTAATAAGTTGATTTTATTATGTAAATGTGTTTCAATACCATACAAATTTTTTCGCGAGATGTACTCATAGTTACATATATAAAACCTTGTGTGTGTGAATGTGTGTTAGCGGTGTGCAAAAGAGAGAGAAATCCACTCGCAAGCATATTTTTACAAAAATATGTCTTAGGATCGACATTCATCAACCCTTATACCATTTTTAATACCTACGTGCGTACCAATAAAATTACCTTCCCCCAAGTGTTGTCCCTCTTGCTTCATTATTTTTCAAATATGCATATCCCAATATCACAGTCAGGACTCGAATTCAGGAACCCATTTAACTTGTTCTCCACTTGATCATCATCATCCCTAGCACTACTACTCTGCAACAACAACAATGACATATCTGATTCATCATGTGCACCAAAGCTTGCCTCTCCATCACCTTCATACCTCTCCTCTTGACTTAGCTGTGAAGCCACAAACTTGTCCAGAGCCCTCCAGTCAGTAACCTTCTCGGCATTGTTGCACCCTCGAATACTTTGCTCGTCTTCTAACTCGGTATTGTTCTCATAGATAAGAGACATTGAGGTCGGCCGCTTTATTAAGGGAAGAGACGGGCTCTCAAGCTGAGGAAGCTGGACAAACGGATCAGAGTGCAGGAAGTTCAAACTATCAGCTTCTGTCTCTTGCTTGCACATGAAATTCTGGCTTAAAAAGCTCTGGGGCTGCCTCATATAATCCGTTGGATCAGCGACGGAAGTGAGACCGTTAAGTTCTTCGTAGAAGTAGCTTGAGTCCCAGCCTTCAATGCTTTTGTTTTGGCTACTGATTCTCTTCTTGAATGCTCTGCATACCACCCATCCTTCTTCCTGCAAAAACTTAACCAAATTACTTATTTGTAAGTGAAATGAGACAAAAATAATTAATTATCCGATTTCGATTATTTAATTCTTAATCATTTTTTTGGTGGAAACTGGAAAGAGGTTGATAGGGTCAATGTTTCTGTAGGGCAAAAGTGAAAATTTTCCTTTTTTACCTTTATACATATACATGCATTTTCTTTAATTAGCTTTTGCAGTTTTCTTTCTGTTTGGTAGAGAGAGATAGTAACTTGATGTCAATCTAAGGGTAATGGCCATGCATGAGAAATGGATGTTTACTTTTTGACAAACTGAAAGCCAAGGTTGGAAGATGAATTGGCAGAAAGCAAATTAAAACATGCTTTTGAAGGCTTTAACTTTTGACTTTGATGTGTTGGTGGAAGTGAGAGTGCATACATAAGTGGTCTACGAGTTACGCATGCAAATTTAGTCTACGAGTTACGCATGCAAATTATGTGAGATTGTTCTACTATTCCCTTTAGAAAATCTGTTAGTTTCTGCTTTTTTAGAATTGCATTACACAAAAATCTACACATCCATATTGCACTTGTTTCTCCATAAACTTTTGTACAAAAGTAGACCAGAGAACAACATTCAAAACTCGACTTCGTAACAAAACAAAAAACAAAAGGATCAACAGTTCGAACATCGATCCTTCCTCCATTGACCTTCTTTGTAACACAAATGGGCCGGTAATAAAAGAAATTTGTAAAATATTTTATAGGTGTACGTTAGCTGGAAAAACTATAGGTCTCATAGGTCTCATACGAAGAAGTCATGAGAGGCTACTATCACATCTTCTACGATCGAGCATGGAAAGATAAAGTGTTGTCATTGACATTTTAGTCTATAAAGTGATGGTATGCCAAACTCGATACATTGTACAATTTTATGCTCAAATATTTAAGAACCAAATAATCAACCTAAGTATTAGCTAGGTCAACAAGTGCTGTTCGAATTCCTTGACATGGTGACCTTGAAAACAGGTTCAAAGTTTAGGTTTTACTCTGTGTGTGTGTGTGTGTGTGAGAGAGAGAGAGAGAGAGAGAGAGAGAGAGAGAGAGAGAGAGATGGTGATGATGATGATGGGTTTTGATCACTTGCCTGCGGAGGTCCATTTTCGTCAGATTCGAGCCTGTATTCGTGCATGATCCAATCAGTCTTCTGTCCATTTGGAGCCCTTCCTTTGTAGAAGACGAGGGTTTTCCTCATCCCGATCAGTTTTGCCTTATCATATACTGATTTGTCTCGACCCGTTGCCTTCCAAAACCCAGCCATGGTTGCTCTGTTGGTCCTTGTCCCAGTTGGATACTTCTTGTCTTTGTGGCTAAAGAAGTACCACTCGTTCTGCTCTTCATACCCGATCCGACATCTCTCTGTCCATTAATGCCAATAAGATCATCAAGATCCATGTTATGTAAACCAAACGTTAATTAATTACAAATGTAATGCAGCAGGTAAGGTGGATTAGTATGTATTTGGCACCAACCCATCAATGCGCAAAATAGTACACAAGGTTAGAGCTAGTATGAGGTTATATATACAAAGAAGAAGAAAAAAAAAAAAAAAAAATTAGGAAACATCCACTTGATGAGAGCCAAAAACCCTAATTAGCATGATCCGGTAAATGATCAAGGGATGAAACCCGAACAATGCACTATTAGTTCGTGTGTAGTACCTTGAAGATCCCATGGTTCGATTCTGTAGAGATCAATGTCTCTGATGACATCAAGATCGATCTTCTGGGAGGCAACTTTCTTTCTAAGATAGTACCCGACGAGCTCTTCATCCGTCGGATGAAAGCGGAAACCAGGTGGGACAGTAGACTCGATTGACTCCATCATAGCGCAGTTGGTAGTTTGTACTGTTTACTACTGCATCAAATTCATCACCACTGCCATTAGTACCCACCACCACACCAACTTAATCAATGAGAACTTATAAGTAGAGCTAGCTAGCTAGAGAAAATGAAAACTCGGAAGAAAACGTTAAAAAAAGTGCCAACACATAGCTTTAATTGTTAAAAGGTAGAAGAAGAAAATGAAAAATGTAAACAACAGGAAAATGAAGACTCAGAGAATTAAAAAGGTGACAAGTGTTATCAGAGACAATCATCAGCTCATTTGGTGGTGAGCAACCCCACCATTTCTGGTTTGATCAGGGAATTATAATTATAAAAGCGTGTTACAAACAAATTAGTAAAATAATACTTTTAATTGGTTAATTAATTACCACAGAAACAGAGATTCGGAGACGATAAAGTAATTTAATTTTTGCTTAGGTTAAAAGGAATAATATAGAAAAGGAAACCATGAGAGTTTGGTTTTGATAAAAAACGAAGAGGAAGTTGGAGCTTGCTATTTGTTCAGAGGTGAAATGGGGGATCTCAAGAAACGGACTAGTAGAGGTTTGTGCTAATGATGTTGTCTTGTGCTGGTGAATGGTAGAAATGATGCATCAGAACGGGGTTTTCTATTATAATAACACTATTAACTTAATAATTAACTTTTGTAGACCCAAATATATATATATATATATATATATAGACACACACACACATACTCTAAAGATCAAAAACAAAAAATAGTTTTTTCTTTTGTACGTTGAGGTGTCACTAATGGTAAAGAAAAGAAAATAACAAAAGTTTTAACCATGCTCTAGTATATAATATGCCCTGAATGAGTGTTGAATATATAACCAAGAATTTATTGTCAAGAATTTAATAGCCACGGATATCGATGTATTGTATACATAAATACATACTAAAAAAATCTCAAAATTAAGAGGACATTTGAATTTGGGAGTTGCAAAAACAGAAAGGGAGGATGACGTGATCACAATTAAGCATGCGTTTCTCGAAAGGGAAAAGGGTTCGGAAACAAAAAGATGGAGGACGACAGCGTTTGATTGGATCAAGCCTGCTAAGAGAAAAGGTTAACAAAAAGAGAAAAAGAGAGACCACAAACTCTATTCTGAGTCTCTGAGTGTGAGACTAGAGACTATTTCATACTGCAGAAACGGGGGATTCTGACCTTCTTGTCTGTTTGTCCAGAATTGCCGTGGCAAATATCTGACCCCTTTTTCCTTGATAGACTAGTACTCAGCAAAAATGCTGCTGACCCATACCATACATACAAAAAAAGAACAAATTAATTAAGAGCATGCATGCATTTACAACATCATTAGTGTTCTCTTGTTAATTAAACTCCATCAAGATGAGCTTAATCCATGTGTTTAAATAGTTAATCCTGACCTTAAACTCCAGGTTTGTATCTTCCTCTTCTTTTCCTCTTTCTAGCTTAGACTCTACAAGTTCTCAACAAATAGATAGATCATGAGTAAAATGCCACTTTGATGGGTGCCTCTTTAAAGGACAAAGCTAGTGCCTTCAACTAGCTAGGTCAAGAAATCAATAGATCAGAATCATTTAATTTTTCATGATGAGAGAAATGATTCAAATTTTCTCATCGGGTAGTGTAGAGACCAAGTCTTGACCGAACAACCAGTATAATAGGTGTCGGCCGGAGGACTTGTTGCTCGAGTGGTGGAGAGTATTTATCTCTGAATCCGAAATCAGAGATTGGATTCACCTTCCTGAGATCGATTCCCTCTTCCTCTTTGGCCTCTGGGGTTCTTAACAAAAAAAGAAAAGAAGAAGAGAATGAAAGAAAAGTTTGTGAAAGGATCAAGAAGAAACCCTATATACCTATACATATAACTGCTGGGAAATGGATCTTATATACATATATTCTTCTTTGGAAATTGGGATCAATATGCATTTGGATAGATTGATGGATGAGAGGGAGAGAGAGGCCTTCTACTGATCACCTCCGTCGTCTTAATTACCAAGAACAAGCAGAGAAGATCATATATATTCCTACTTGTTGAGAATGACTAATAAGACGCTGGCTATACATACGCGTTTTGTAAATGTTTAAGGAATTTTCCATTCAAATACAGACTAATTTAGTTAAATAAACAATTAAACTTACCTGATCAACTTTTGGTGTTGGTGTAATTACTCGTTAAAAGACAGAAAGCAACGAAGAAGAAGAAGAAGACAAATTCAAGTAGTAGTAGTAGAACTCCGTTGAACAACAACAGCAGAAAATAAATAAAATTTGAGAGAGAGAGAGAGAGAGAGAGAGAGAGAGAGTTTTAAGAAAGAAATTCCGTTAGGAGAGGAGAGATGGAGACAATATAAAAGGGAAGGGGAGGGAGGGGAAGGATTGCTCGATTGCGCATGGGTTGATGGTTGTCCCCAGTACTTGACGTCACTCCCCTAGCTTCCTACACAAACTCCCTTTTTTCTTCTTTACTTTCTTTCCGTCCATATTCTCTTCTCACCATTTTTAATTAATTTACAAGCTTAGCTTGTTTCCCAAGTTTAAAAGGCAACTTCCTTTGATGAATTCTTAAATATTTTTTTTTTTTGCACAGTTAAAAAAAATTACAAAAGGATCAACAAAGAATCGTTAAAAAGGATTACAAAAGGATCAACAAAGAATCGTTGAACTGTGGAAAATGAATCCAATATTGATAGGAGAAGGGATCTCGTATGAACTTATAAGGATTCGAGCTATTTTTTATTTTGTCAATTGGTTTAATGATTTGGTGGTTTAATGGTTGGGGATGGAGGGTATGGTGAGGTAGGGAGGAGGAATTTAGTTTTGGGTTTTCTAGGAGGATAATGTTAGACCAAATATTTAACTCAATTTGCAAACCAAATGATGTGTTACCAATAGGAAAAAAAAAACACGGCAATCAACATTTAAATAATAATTCAATCATCAACAACCATATCATTTAATTTACAATATTTGGTTTAAAAAATTGGTCTCCTTATAATTACCCTTTTTGGAATCTGTTGTGCGGGAGAGATTTTTCAGTGTGCTCGGAATACGAGGTGTACACTACGTGTCATTATATAAGTAGTGAGATACTTGTGTTAAAAAATTAACAATTTAAAAATAAAACTTCTCACCATTTATATAATAACACGTGATGTATTCTATCTGTGTTCCGGGCACAGCAAAAAAAATTTCGTTGTGCTAGATAGGAAAAAGAGAAGAGGAAAGAGAGAAAAGCAATGGGGGATGAGGTTGTTTTTTTTTAAATATTTTTTAGTTTAGAAGTTTTGGAAATATTTTTATTTATCTAAGAATATTAATAATAAATTTACATGCTCTTGTCTTTGCTCTTATCCAATAAATGGAGTTGCACAAAGATAAGTACTATTCCAAGTGAATAGTAAAGGCAAGTTAACTACCTTGCCCTTAGCTTCCCTAAACGGGAAAAAGAGAAATGGGATTTTGTATGGGCAAATCCCCCATACAAATCATAATATTCCTTAACTATGACTTTAGCAGGAAAATTGCTAAACTAGATATAAGACTGGTTGTAAATTAAAGTGCCCAATTCAAATATTTATAGCAAATATGTGGCCGAACTTTGAATGGTTATAGTTGAAACTCATCAATTTTTTTCCTTTCTAAATATTCACTTAATCAAGGCATTTTTTCTTTTTAAATACATATATATATATATATATATATATTTCTTGTTAATTCCTCTTTTTATACAAGCAATAGCGAGATACTCCATTGATGGTATCACTGACTGACTGGAGCAAACGATGCAAAATTTTCATGGTAAAAGCGGAGATCAATTCTTACTTTTTAGTCCAATTCAATTTCGAAGAAAATTGGACTTAAATAAACTTTGAAAAATATATATTTCCCCATATATTTGTTACATGACGAAACTATATCACTTACTATTTAATTAAAATATTTAATAAATCAAACGATTTCAATTGTAAATATTGAAACTACAACCCTTTTAAGTGCAATGTCCTCAACACTACATGGATACATGTAGTTTGACCCTTTTTGTTTTGCCATATGGTATGTTTTAAGGTGGGAAGATTTTGGGGAATTGGTTTAAGGAATCTATCAAACGGAGCAGTTACTTAAATGAGGAGATTTAAATGCACAAGTGGGCAATGAAACAGGCAACAAAGGTTTTCATAGTGGCCGTAGTTTTGGGGAGAGAAACGAGGAGGGCGAAGCCATTTTGGATTTTGCAATGGCATACAATCTTTTTCTAGCCAATACTGTCTTTAAGAAGAGAGAAGAACATGTGATCACCTACAAGAGTGGGTCATCAAAAACACAAATAGATTTCTTTTTAATGAGGAAGGGGGATCATATCAATTGTAAAGATTGCAAAGTTATACCGAGAGAGAGCCTGGCTAACCAACATCGCATGTTGGTGAATTCGTACATATCAAAAGAGATAGAAGAAAGAACAAGACCATAAATTGTCCAAGAACTAGATGGTAGAATCTAAAAGGAGAAAAACAAGTCACTTTCAAAGTGAAAGTACTTGCTCAATGCATTTGGGATACAAAGAGGAACGCTAGCCAAATGTGGGATTATATGGCTAGTTTTACTTGAAAAATTATAAACGTAATATTAAGAAAGTCCAACGGTTTTGCTCACATCGAAGTGGAATGAGGAGGTATAGGAAAATGTTAAGGCTAAGAAAGAGTGTTGTAAATCCTTATCCAAGGATAGAAACCGGCGAAAACTGTGAGAGGTATAAAATAGCGGAAAAGGAGCAAAAAAAGCCTTGAGAGAAGCGAAGCTAGCGGCTTTTGATGATATATAAGCGATTAGATACCAAAGAAGATGAGTTGGATATCTATAAATTGGCTAGAGTAAGAGAAAGGAAGACAATAGACTTAAACCAAGTAACGTGCATCAAATATGAGAATGAAAATGTTCTAGCTACGTAGAATGCGGTTAAAGATAGATAGAGAGCTTATTTTGATAATCTTTTCAATGAAGGACATGAAAGGGGTACTTTGTTGGGTGAGTTGAGTAACTTGGGAGAGTGTAGAAATGATTGTTTCTACTGCTAAATCTAGAAAGTGGAAGTGGTTGTAACTTTGAAAAAAATGAAGCATGGAAAAGCAGTGGGTCTCGACAATATACCGATCGAAATGTGGAGATCTTGGGAGAGATAGATATAGCATGGCTCACAAACTTTTTCGATAAGATTTTGAAAAATGAAGAAGATGCCAAATGGGCGGCGAAAAATCACTTTGGTGCCTATTTACAAGAATAAGGGCGACATACAAAATTGCATGAATTATAGGTGTACTAAGTTAATGAGTCATAAATGAAGCTTTGAGAGAAAGTAATTGAGCATAGACTATGGCAAGAGACACGAGTCTCAGACAATCAATTCGGTTCATGCTAGGACACTCAACTATAAATGCAATCTATCTATTACGGAGATCGCTGAAATGATGTAGAAATATGCATAAGGATTTGTAAATGGTCTTTATAGATTTGAAAAAAGTGTATGATAAGGTCCCATGAGAAATTCTTTGGATGATTCTAGAGAAGAAAGGAGTATGAGTAGTATATATCAAAGCAATAAAGGATATGTATGATGTAGCAAAGACTGCAGTACGACTTGTGAAGGACAAATTGAAAGTCTTCCCATAACCATAAGGTTAAACCAAGGTTAAGCTTTAAGTCCTTACATTTTTGCATTGACATGAATGAGTTAATGAGACATATTCAAGATGATATCCTTTGGTGTATGTTATTTCACAGATGATGTAGTGTTGATAGATGAAACACAGGAAGGAGTAAATGAGAAGCTTAATCTTTTGCGGGAATCTAAGAGTCTCCTTCTCTTAACCTTTGGCGGGAATCTAAAAGTCTCCTTCTAAGTTTGTCAAGGCAGAGTATATGAAGTGCAAGTTGAGTCCAAATGAGATAGCTAGGGGTAAGGATTGTAGACCAATGTCAAAGAGTGAACGCTTTCATTATCTTGGATCTATCTTGCAAAGAACAGAGAATTGGATAAGAATCTCAACCATAGAATACAAGTTAGATGAATGAAGTAGAAGATCATGCATCAGGTGTGTTGTGCGACCAACGAATACCACTAAAGCTTAAGGAATTTTTTTTATAGGATCGCAATAAGGTCATCAATGCTTTATGGTCTAGGTCAAGCATCAACAAGCGCATAAAATGAGTGTAGCGGAAGATTTGGAAAGAGATTCTAAGAAAAAGATACATAGTACTTGAAGCTAATGGAAGACTTGGCATAAAACCAAGCTCAATAACGTATTAGGATTCATAAAGCTAACCTCACTTAATGAAATAAGAATTTGTTGTTGACGATGGTTATTCATCAAAACCCAAAGAATTTAATTGTTCTTGTCGGCTAAGTCTTTACATGGAGCCCTATGGATTTAGCTATAGTTATTTACAAATGAAACTCACTAATCACTCGTGAGGTGCAATGATCTTTACTATCAATTAAAGAATTGATCATGATCGTGGTGTGTTGTGGTGTTGTTACTGTCTCGTTTTGCCGTGACTACTATCTTCCTCCTCATCTCATGGACCCTCCCCCCACTCTGAAAGCTTCATGTTATCCATCCATTGCTGCTGCTGCTGCTTCTTCAGCTTGTCGTAAAAAAATCCTATTACTTAATTTCGTTTTCAAAGTTCAAATATTCTGACTGACGTACACATGCCACACGTTCGCCCTATTTTCACGAATCTGGATCCTCGCCAGATCCTCTTTGTGAGAATTCTGAGGATCTGTGAATCGTGTCTGTTCATTGTACATCGTGCGGTCAGAAATTATTTTAAATATTTTTATTTAAAATTAAACACAAACAGGACCTGATAAAAACTGACAGCACGATGTATAATGAACAGACACAATTCACGGATCCCCAGAATCTTTACCAAAAGGATCCGGACAGGATGCTGTTGGTATTTTCACAACCTTGCACCATGTGTTGCCGCCAAATAAACGAGACGTTTCGGCTCGGCTCCCTCTCCACTCAAATGGCTTCGTAATCATAAAGAAGCTGCATGCATATTCACCAAAAACTCCTCTAGGCTCGAGTGTGAGTAATATTGGA